CCAACTCCACTGTTGGCCCATCTCTGCAGCTTTTTGAGACAGAAATCTCCAAATGCACCCAGCAGACACCACCTACACTTGCACACTTGTCTCGGTGGGCAGGCTGTTTGCCAAGTTTTATTTGCACATGAAGATTTTTTAAACGTTTTTGTAAACATTTCCCTCTTAAATAATATACCTGAAATCTACCAGCTGTGGCAAATTATGAATAAAACACCTGGGAAAAAGACATGGCCTTATTTATTAGTTATGTTTTCCAATTACCTCACAGACAACTTCTTAAGATCTTTAAGATATTAGCAGCACAAAATTACAGTAAGGCTCTCCATAATCTTTAAATATAAAGACTAACTAAATATAAAGACTAAACTAAAGGGCATTCTGATGACTGTTTCAAACTCTTTGATCTTCTTACTACATATAATAATAAAATGTTAAAAAAAAATCACAAATCCTACCCACAATAAATGGCAAAAAATGACTGCTTTCTACTAGACATATCAGAAAACAAACAAACAAACAAAAAAAACCCAGCATATTCTGAGAGCTCCAAACTACAAGACTCTGAATTTGTTGACTTTTATAAAATCTAGTGCTTTAGATCACCATGTAAGTGTTGCTAAACAATTTCCTAGATTCCCAGTGCAATAGCTCCAGCTTTAGAGTCACGAAATTAACTCTAGTGGTCCTGCTATCAGAAAAGATATCAAATACTGCCAATGCCAACTCCTTTCATCGAAATACATTAAAAGGGTTCAAAGTTCTTTACTTTTGGTCGATTTGTTCCACATTGACCTTAAAACTATTCTGCAACACAAAAAGCAGTATACAGTACCCTATACTAAATCCTAGATATAAAGCAGTTACCACAATTTACACATCTTCCTACAATTGTGTTCAGGTTGACCATGACAGTTCTGCAATCAATGCCACTACTGATTCTTTCCTGCAAATAGTACTGTGATAGCAAGTTTTTATTTTCCTTGATCAGCTCACATGCACAGCAGTTTTTTTTTTATGTGAACTCCAGAACTAAAGAAAATTATATTTTCCTTCTTTTGATCAAAGACCAGTTACATCTGAAAAGATTAACAAATTTGTCACATGATATTATATTTCCTGTTCCAAACACTGAAACAGCATTTCTATATACAAAGTTGCTAACATGTATTTTCAAAAATGTAAAAATTATTTTAAAAGATTTTTTTCAAGTGAATATGAGTATTTACTAAGAGAAATTGATCTTCTTAAGAAGCATACAGAATCCACTTCTACTAGTGGCACTTTTGATACCAGCTCAGTTAATCAACATGTCTTGCAGGGAAACTACATCTCTTCTATGAAACATGAAATCTCCCCTAGATAGGAAAAATAACTGACGTGGACCTATGTATAAATTCAGGAAAGAGACATCTTAGTTTAGAGGCTACAAGGATCTACAAAGGAACCAGCTACTTACAGAGACAGAAAACGGTATTTTACTTGACATGGGTTACATGCAGGGTATTACCTAGGTATTTACCTATACCTGCTATTTATTACCTGCATTACTATGATGTGCAAGAGTTTAGTCAGGGCTTATAGTGTTATTTCTATAAAAAGACTGAATAAAAAGATGATCCTTGACCTGGAGGGGAGACAACAACATGGTATCAGTTGAAATGTATTATTAGCATTCACCACCTATTTTGAGAATCCCAGCCCAAGTCCTGCCTTGACTTGGACCAAATGCCATTACTAATAATTTAATCACTTCTGTCTCCAGTACTTGATTTGCCTTGATTTGGCAACCATTATGTGTTTGGTTCTTTTACTTTGGCAAAAGTATATATACATGTCTGTATAAGACAACTGGGCAGGACAATCTCACTAATTCTAATCTAATGTTCTTTTCTGCTAAGTCCTGTTTTAATGATGTGAGGAGTACTTCATTCTATACTGTAACTATCACGTTAACAAACTTTTTTTTTTTAAGTGATTTTTAAATTCCTTAACATTCCAATCTGAGTGAAAGAGCTTTCACTTAAATAAGATCTATTCAGGTTAAACATATTCAATTTGTAAGAGACAGAAGAGTGACTTAGGAAATAACAAATCTGATAACTTCAGTACAAACTCATCTTGATCACTATGTTAGTATCTAGTGTAGATAGACAATTTCAAACCAAATACACAGGAAAAGAAAATAAAACCCTTTATACCCAGCTTCCTATTCAATATGAACCATAGAAACATAGAATTGTTAAGGTTGGAAAGGACCTCTAGAGATCATCTAGTCTAAGCCCCCTGCACACATGAAGATTATATATATGTATATATATGTGCGTGTGGATATACGAGTCAGCCATTTGATTTTCATCAAACTTATCTGAATGCACTCTGAAAACAGAGCAAAAACAGCTAAAAAGGTGTCTATTCCATCCTCCTGCACACACTTTTCTCTCTTTCCC